AGTTTGTGGTACTTTCAATATTCTTCTCTAGCACCACAATTCAAATGCATTGAGTCTCTTTCTTCAGTCTTTCTTTTTTTTTTTTTAAAATCATTTTATTAGGGGTTCATACAACTCATCACAATCCATACATACATCAATTGTGTAAAGCACATTAGTACATTCATTGCCCTCATCATTCTCAAAACATTTCCTCTCCACTTAAGCCCCCGGCATTAGGTCCTCATTTTTCCCCTCCCTCCCTTCTCCCCACTCCCTCATGAGCCCCTGATAATTTATAAATTGTTATTTTGTCATATCAGGCTTTCTTATTCAATGTCCAACGTTCATATGTATGTAAGGCAATGGAAAATACCATGGCTTGGGTCAGGTGCACCTTAGTATTTAAAGTAACATCCTTGCTTTTCAAAACAGTTGTGAGGATTTTGCTCTTCTTTACACTGAGCCACAATCCATCCTAACGGCTACAATTCTTGATCATCATCAGCAAGTGCTTTAAGTCCTCCTCACTTCCAACAAGCAAGGTTGTCATCAAGTATCGCAGGTTGTTAATAAGCATTCCTCCAATCCTGATGCCACATTCTTCTTCACATGTCATCTTCTATAATCATTTGCTCAGCATACAGGTTGAATAAGTACGCATCTGATGCACACCATTCCTGATTTTAAATCATGCACCATGCCTTTGTTCTGTTCGCACAATTGCCTCTTGATCCATGCACAAATTCCTCATGAGCACAATGAAGTGTTTCGGAATTCTCCCATTCGTCTCAATGTTACCTATAGTTTATTAGGGTCCACACAGTAGAATGGCTTCGCATAATCAATAAAACACGAGTAACTATCTTTCTGGTATACTCTGCTTTTAAACTAGTTACATCTGACATCAGCAATCCGCGTCCCTTTCTGCATCTGGCCTGAAACTCTGGCAGCTCCTTCTTAATGTATTGCTGCAACTTGTTGGGTCGGGTCGGAACGGAACTAGGCAGCCCCTGTTTGGACTAAGTTGAAGCAGGTTTGGGCTCTGCATGTGCTTCCCTGCATGTCCCAGAGGTCAGCAGCAGTCGGTGCCAGAGAAGATAATCAGCGAAACCTGATGTTCCCGGTTCAAAGAAAGCCTCCAGGAGTTGACAACCAATTCTCCCAGTTTCCAGACCCCATGTGCTAATTGCCATACATTCCTCACCACTGCTTTAAAAACCCTCACCCCCAGCTACTGAGCACGACTTCCCTGACCTGTTGGCCTAGGTCACGGAAGCTCCCCTAGGTCCTGGAGCTCCCCTAGCTCCTAATAAAGCTATTTCTGTTTCTGCTCTCCCTTGTCCTGTCAGTTATGTCTGTCTGTCTGTCTCCCTGTACCTCAGTTTCACCTTTACACAACTGTTGTTGGATGGTCTTCAGCACAATTTTGTTTGCATGTGATATCAGTGATATTGTTCTATAATTCTGATAGGTCACTTTTCTTTGGAATGTGCCCAAATGCAGATCTTTCCCAGGCAGTTGGCCAAGTAGCCGTCTTCCAAATTACCTGCCATAGAGAAGTGTTTCCAGTGTTCCATCAGCTTGATGAAACATTTCAATTGGCATTCCATCGATTCCCGGAGCCTTGTTTTCAGCTAAGGAATTCAGTGTACTTTGAACTTCTTCCTTCAGCACCATTGGTTCTTTCTCAAATGCTACCCCCTGAAATGGTGGACTGCTGACAGTAACTGTGTGTATTCTTTTCATCTTCTTTTGATGTTTCCTGTATCATTTAATATTTTACCCATAGAACTTACAATATTGCAATTTAAGGCTTGAATTTTTTCTTGAGTTCTTTCAGTTTCAGATATGCTGAGCATGTTCTTACCTTTTGGTTTTCTTATTCTAGGTCCTGCACAATTTCATTATACTTGGCTTTGTCTTCCCAAGATGCCCTTTGAAATTTTCTATTCAACTTTTTTACTTCATCCTTTCTTCTACTTTCTTTCTATTCTATGATTAACAGCTAGCTTCAGTCTCTTCTGACACCCACTTTGATCCTTTCTTTACTTATGTCTTTTTAATGACCTTTTGTTTTCTTCATGACGATCTTAATGTCCTTCCACAGCTCATCAGGTATTAGTGTTCAGTGCCTCCAATCCGTTTTCGTGATCCTCTGGAAATGAAGATGGGATAGGCTCAAGATCATATTTTGGCTCTGTTTTAATTTCCTTCAGCTTTATCCTCAGCTTACATATGAGCAATTGACGGTCTGTTGCACAGGCAGCCCGTAGCTTTATTTTGGCTGCTGATATTGAGCTTCTCCAGCATCTCTAGCTACAGATGCTGCCGATTTTATTTCTGTGTATTCCATCTGGAGAAATCCATGTGTATAGTTGTCTTTTGCATCATTGAAAGATGTTATTTGGTATGAACAAGTCATTGGTTTTGCAAAATTCAATCATACAATCTTAAAGCTTCCTTTCTATCACCAACTCCATGTTTTCCAACTACTGTTCCTTCCTCTTTGTTTCCAATTTTTTCATTCCAATTGCCAATAATTGTCAATGCATCTTGATGCATGCTTGATCAATTTCCAACTGAAGCTGTTAGAATTCTTTAATTTCTCCATTACTAACTTTTGTGGTTTATGTACAAAATTTGAAATATATGATTTTTTTTTCTTTTTCAAAACTATGTAAATTTTTCTTAACAAAACAGACTTATCACCTTCAAAGTACTCTCTATTACACTTAATACATTAGTCAAATCTGTGATTCCATTTTAGGAAACATTTTTGAAACTCATCTGTTTGGATGGCTGACAACTTCTCCCTTATTTTTTTTCCCTTCACCTCTTCTACCTCATCAAATCACTGTCCTTCCATGCCCCTTGGCATTCATGGAAACAAAAAGAAGTTGCACGGAGCGAGGTCCATAGGGGAAGATGTGTAGGGCATCTTGCGTAAGATGAGTAAGATGAGTGGGGCAAGAGAGGCATGCTGATTTTTGCCAAAAACTGGCACACTGAAATGGCTGCATGAGCAGGTGCATTATTGTGGTGGCAAAACCAGTCCCCCATCTGTCACAAATCAGGCCTTTCTTGTTGCACAGTGTTATATAATCTTTTCAGAATCTCTAAATAGAAAACTTGATTAACAGTCTGACCTGTTGGAATAAACTCCAAGTGTACTATCCCCCTCACATCACATCCAGTTTTTTGGGGGGGCACCCCCTCATATTTTCCCAGAACATCCACTACTTCATCCCTTCTCTTGATTTCCCCAAGAGTGATTTGTGTCAGACCATTACAGAGCCTGATGGAAACAGCTCTATTGCCTGAATTTTTTGCTAGTAAAGTGGTGAGAAACAGCAAATATATGAAAAATTGATTAGGCAATGTAGTATGAGGTCTGAGTTTTCTAAGAGGTTTCCAAATATGTTGTTTATAAAAGTATTTAGAAAGATACATCTTTGAGGGAAAGTTAACAAATAAGTTCCTTATCACTTGAAGAACTTTTAACAATCAGATAGAAAGGAAGGACGTCTTACCTCATTCAAGGTAAACATGACCAAGGTCAAGCTGGCAGCTTCTCAGAGAGGCCACAGCTGCACTACACCAAACCCGTTGCCAATGAGTTTATTCTGACTCATAGTTACCCAAAAGGGCAGAGCATTGCCAAAGGAACTTTAGTGGCACTGTAGGATAAGCATTGGTTTGTCACCACAAAGTTTTCAGCTCAGACTTAACTGGCGATAGAAAGATGAAGCAGAAAGATGAGGCTTGTCTATGCCCATAAATATGTATACAGGTAACATAGTAAGTCAGAACCCACTTAGTTTGGGACAGGGGTTGCACAGCTTAAGTGCTCGGCTGGCTGACTATTGGAAACCCACCAGCTGCTCCTCAGGAGAAAGAGGAGAAAGATGTGGCAATCTGTAAAGATACCAAACCAAGCCCACTGCCATTAAGTGGGTTCTGACTATCTCTGGTAAGTAAAGAGAGAAAGAAGAAAGGATGTCAGTTTGGCAGCATGATCACTGGTTTCGGAGGGCCTGGTCAGCAACCCTGGTGGTGTAGTGGTTATGCATTTGGCTGCCTACTGAGGCTGGAAACCACCAACCGCTGGAGGTTGGGGAGGGGAGAAAGATGTTACTTTTTACTCCCACATAGAATTACAGCCTTGGAAACCCAAAGGGGCAGTTCTATTCAGTCCTATAGGGCTGCTATGAGTCAAAATTGAATCAACGGTAGTGAGTTTGGTTTGCTGTTTGGAAAGGTGGCCAAGTTGGAGGAGATTGCTTCTCCACCCTCACCAGAAGCTTGGTAATACAGTTGCCCAAGAACTTCTTGCTCCAGAACGCAGCTTCTGGCCACACGACCTACCAGCCTGCCTGAGGCAGTGAAGTGACTGGCTCTGCTTTGCTCTCAGGCCAAGCACGGGCTGCATAGGTAATGAAGTCTGCCCCATCCTGCTCCTACTGAGAGGGAAAAGTCTTGCCCCAAAGACGGCTCTCAGTCAGTGGGCCGTTTTCCTAGCAAAAGAAGAGGATGCGGTCGTGCCTATTGACTTACGTGCTGACGTCAGCACGGATTCACTGGCGCGCGCGCGCAAGCGTTGGGGCCGCGAGGCGGGCGCTCGCGGGTCACTGGCTGGCGGCCTGCGAGCGGTCGCCGTCGCTGCGGTAGCAGCTCCCTTACAAGACTGCCAAGGGGCCGAGCTGGCCGGGCATGCGGAGGGTCGGCCCTTGCTCCTCTCCCAGGCGCGCGTGCGGCTCCTGGGCGCATAGTGACGGCGGGGTCGCACTGGGGTCGCTTTTCCAACAGCCTTGACCTGCGGTGCCCGGGCCATGAAGAGTGTCCGGGGCTGGGTGGGGCCTCGCTGAAGGCGGCCTCGCGTTTCCACTGCGGCCTTTCGGCATGAGCGCCTGCCCCGGCCCGCGGACGGCGCTGCCCGGGTACGGCCGGCCGTGCGAGTGCTCGGCGCTGGCGGGGCCGCGGTGCTGAGCGCCTCCATCCGCTGACGCAGCCGCAGCCGCAGCGCGCCCGGAGCGGCCATGGAAGTGGTGGGCGACTTTGAGTACAGCAAGCGGGACCTCGTGGGACACGGAGCCTTCGCAGTGGTCTTCCGGGGGCGGCACCGCCAGGTGAGCCCGCCTGCCTGGCGGGGCGAGGCCAGTGTGGATGGCTTCAAAAGACCCGCAACTTTTGGGAACCCTCAGAGTATAGGCGTCCCCTCCCGGGCCCGCCGCACGGGGGCGCTCTTTGTGCATTTGTTGACTCGGATGTCCTTTGGTCTCAGTGGGCGGCGGTGGCTCCGTAGCAGAGGTCATTAGGCAGGGTTCCATCCTCTGCCATCCATCCTGATTTCTGTCTCCGGCCTCCTCGCCCTCCATGTTCTCCTTCACATGAGTCCCCCACGAGTTCGACCCTCGAGGACCTTCACTGCCTTTGCACATGCCAGGACTAGCGAGTGTGGACCTTTGCGTGCACTTCCCCCGCCGCATCCTCCACCAGCGTGGGCTGTCAAGGGTTTGGCAAGTTTGATGTTGTTGATGCAGACCCTGTGAAAATACGGGTTCCTGTTGATCTGACGTTTTATCAAACTGCGCGATCACACATTTCCCCGTAGTGATTCTTTCACAGAAGCCCAGAACCATCTTCCCTTTCTCGTGTGGATGTGGAAGAGATGATTAGACGCTTCGTTTTGAAGTCAGATAATGTGAAAGCACACTCAGCTCATTCTCCCCTCCTTCCCCTGAGTTTTAAACAAAGATTTTACTGTTTTACAAATAGGCTCACATGTAGGAGTTGAGAATATACAGAGTTTAGAAAGACTTATAGGAAGTGGTAATAATCATAAAAGGTTTGCCAGTTCTGATGGTTGTCAAACAGCATATTAAAAACGGGCTGGTTTTTTTGCCGTCAGATAACGAATACCACTTAGTGTCATTTATTATGAAAATAACTTGATAGTGAAAAAAATTTAAACGTTATCCTACTAAGCTAACATTGTTTTCAATTAACTAAACACCTTTAAAGCTTATTATTTTTTCACTCAGTGCTAGTTACTATGTAGTTCTTATGTTTGTTAATTTTAGTGGCTTTCTTATAGGACGTTAGCTTATTTATTATACCATAATCTACAAATTTTCCTGTTGGAGATTCAGATTCTTTTCTGTTTTTACCAAATGTTATACATAAATTTGCTACCAAATAGTCTCGTATAGGTTTTTCTGCTCAGTTATGTCTGTGGAATAATTTACAGGACTAACATTTTTTCCTTTTCAGAAAACTGATTGGGAGGTAGCTATTAAAAGTATTAATAAAAAGAACCTGTCAAAATCACAAATACTGCTTGGCAAGGAAATTAAAATATTAAAGGTATGTGTTTTTATGCTTTCCTACTAGATTAAATTTTATACTAAATTATGTGAAGCCATGAATTTGGTAGTTAGATCCAATTTGAGAAATTTCAACTACTGTCATTTTTGCCTACACAGATTTTTGCAACATTGAGTACTCAGAAACACTGTTTGTGGCTTCTATGAGCACTTGGTTTTAGCTTGACATAATTTATGCCCTCTTGTGTTGTTTTGTTAGAGCGGGTGCAGGCAGGCCTCTCATATATTGTTTCCATGTTCTATTAGTCTCTTTCAGGAGAAAGATGAGGCTTTCTACTCCTGAACAGAGTTTCAGTCTCGGAAATCCACAGGGGCAGTTCTCCCATCCTATAGGGTTGCTGTGAATTGGAATTGACTCGGTGGCAGTGAGAGTTTATTGTCTTAAACGTTCCAGTTAAGGTTGTTGTGTGGGGTGTGTGTGTATGTCTTTCCCTTCCTGGAAATTTTTTTCTCCAAGGAAGAAAGTTTTTTCCTTGGAGGTGATTGCTTTAGTTTACTCACAAGCTGTGTCAACTGCTTTAAAGAGAGCAAAGATTCCGTGGTCAAATAGAGGAGCCCTGTTAACTTAGTGGGCTATGCAGTGAGCTGCTAACCACAAGGTGAACAGTTTGAACCAATGATCCTCTCCTTGGAAGAAGACATTTTCTACTATAAAGCTTCAAAGTCTCAGAAACCCAAAAGGGCACTTTTACTTCTCCTATACGGTGACTTTGAGTTGCAGTATACTTGATGGCATTGAATTTGTGACCAGATGAGTTTAAGAAGGTCCCGTTTACGAAGTACCTTCTTAGAGAGTCCTTCCTTAAAGAAAGTTTGAAAAATTCAATGAAGAAACTAGTTCGGTGTTCCTAACTGAAACACCAAGGTCTGATCAGAGCATGGAACTCTCATTTAGCACCATTTCCTTCAAAAACCAATGTTTTATCCAGAGCGTTTTAGGAAACATTTTTCCTGAACTAAGAATTATATTTTGTTTGTTTCAGGCAGATAATGTACCTTTTAAAAACACTTGTTAATGTTGGATTATGGTAGAAAGATGGTATTTTCTATGCCTGTAAAGATTTAGGGCCTCGGGAGGAAAAAAAGATTTATAGCCTCAGAAACCCTATATAAGATTTCTTAACTTGTAATCATCTTGATAGCAGTGGGTTTTTAAAACTTATTATTAGCAAATATATATAACAAATTTAGCAGATAAACAAATCCAGTGACCAGACAAATTGTGATAGTTTATAGATAGATAGGAATAATACTCTTCTTGTTAGGAATCTGTACAATGGCAGTAGTGAAAAAAATTGTTAGATCGAAAGTTTGATCCGGGGATATTTCTTATTTTTTAGTTGCTTGAGTTATTCTAGTCTTGTAATAACTATAAAAAACCAAACCTATTGCCATTTAGTCCAACTCATAGTAAACTTTATGTAGTAATACTGAGGTAGTAAATCGTACGAGAGAGGACAGACTCATCTTTCTCTCTGTGGAGTGGCTGGTAGGCTTAAATCACCAAGCTGGCTAGCAGTCTAACACATAACCTATAGTGCCACCTGGTTTCCTTAGTTGAGTAATAGAAGTGTAATATACATAAGAAATATATCTGTGTGTATGTATAATGACCAATTTTATTTGCATATTGAAATAAATATCAAAATAAATACAAGTATTTAAAATTTGCAATTTCCTTTGCAGGAACTTCAGCATGAAAATATTGTAGCACTCTATGATGTCCAGGTACCTTGCTTTGGATTTTTTTTTAAAATTGGATGTTTTGTTGTTGTTGTTTTTAATTTAATCATTTTATTGGAGGTTTGTACAACTCTTATCACAATCCATGCATATTTGTACATTTGTTGCCATCATCATTCTCAAAACATTTGCTTTCTGCTTCAGCCCTTGGTATCAGTTCCTCATTTTTTTCCCCTCCCTCCCGGCTCCCTCCTCCCTCATGGACCCTTTATAAAAAATTGGATGTTTAACAAAGAACTTAAATGTTTCTATTTCAAAAAAATTTAAGTAAATAGAAATAGAAAGTTGCATTAATTTTTGTTGAAAATATATGCATTTAAGTATATGTTAAAAGTTGATAATACAGGAGAAAACCAGAAATTACTTAAGTAAATATTGGTATCAGATTTATCATTTCCATGATAAATGTAGAAATGATAATTGTAAGCTATTAAAAATTAGTATAGTTTTTTCCATCTTATGATAGTAACATTTATAAATTGTCGCTGTATTAGAAAATAAGATAATAAGGAAGCCATGCATCTGTTACCCAGCTAGTCTACAGTATTCACCATGGTTTATAACAGAGTTGCATTATATATAGAGATGGGAGACTGGGTTCTAGTCATCTGCTAAGTAAAAAATTTCTCTATTGTCGAACACTTTTGGATACCCCTCTAAAAAAATCAGCTTTGGGGGGAAATTACACACTGTATTTTGAGTCCCAGATGAAGTAATTGGCTTATATTTAGCAACCATATTGTCTTAAAACAAAATCCTCCTTTATTTATTTATTTATTTATTT